TCACAAAAAAATCAACAAAATTTCAAAATACAATGTACCTTAACACTTAAGGACGGCGCTTTTCGGGTTGCCTGCCCCCAAAAAAATTTTCGTGGACGCCTATGGACTGAGAGAAACGTCAAATATCTTACGTCAATTATAACTTTAAACGTTTAAATTTTTCTTATACATTTTTTAATGATATTGAAGCAATTTATAACAATTGTGGGAAAAATATTGAAATTTTCATAAAGTTGTTACATATTGCGCACAGTGTTATATCAACTCAACGACTAGAATATCCGGACAAATTGAATTTTATATCTTTAATTACATTTATTGTTATACCGTTCAACAGGTTACGAAAATTATTGCAACCGGAAAGTATAAATTATGGTCGTGTTTTTTTAGTTAGCTATATTTTCCTTAATCCAGTCCAAGAACGAAAATACTCTGGTGTAGACGTATGGGAAGCCAATAGCACATGGTGGTGACCAAGAGACGATACCGATTTGTTTGCCGTTAGCAACCAATGGACCGCCAGAGTCAGTTTTACAAGCACCTTCTCCTCTCTTTGTGAAGGTGCACACCTCGCTATCAATAATTGGAATTGGAAATAGACGTTGTCTGCACTCATCGACGGAAATTGTCTTCAAGTGGACATAGCGTAAGTTTTCGCTGATGTTTCCTGGAAAAGATGTCATACCCCAGCCGCTCAAAACGCAATCTTCACCGCCATCGATGTTTTCTTTCGTCAATTGAATGGGTTGAACTTTTTTATTAAATTTTATGGGAGTTATCAATTTTATAACACCAACGTCGTTACTAACCATTGATGTGAAGTTCTCATTATATATAGTCTTAGAAACTTGGTAGCTATCACCTCCGTTACTCAATTTGTTGGATCCGGCGACGATGAGCATGGCCGAAATATTAGCATTTTTAACGCAGTGGGCAGCCGTCAATATCCAGTTCTCGTTGAGAATGGAACCAGTACAAGCATGCAGACCCTTATACCTCAAAGAAACCAGGTAGGGGAATGCACCTTCGTCGGCTTCCTCGCCACCGACGATCCTCCTATCCAGATCGATGGAGTCAGCTATTTATGGCATATTTGTCAATTTCTCGTGAATAATAAGTGAAGAAAATGGATGTTCTTACCAAAAACACAACCCAGAGTAGCAAGCAAAAACACCAACTTGATCATATTGTTTGTTTGATAAATTCTCATCACCTTAAAGCTTTATATAGAATTTAATAAGAATAAAAAAGTACAAAAATTTCAATAGATTAGATACTATATATTTTATCACTGTTTATATCATCCTTTTCATGAACAAGTGTTTAGGATTTTTATAATGTTGTTATTTGAATCAATATTGAGAATTAATGTACGGAGTATAACAAACTATAGCGTTTTAGAATAATCTTGAGGAATTAATTTAAATTTCTTAATTATTAGTTCTAGCGTATTTTGCCATTGAATCTGTTTTTCACAATAGCTTCCGCCACTATTTCCATTTGAAGATCATCTCTTTGTCGTAATGTACCATGGAGCACCTATGATCTTTCTGATCCAATTCAACTAAAATCTTTGTATAATGTCAATATTAGACCTGCTGCTGTTCCCCAATAACTGCATTCCGTAGATACAGATAGTTTCTAAAATTTTACATTATCAATTTTTTTTTCTGAAATTTACGAGTCTTCTCTTAGTAACAAATAGTTTCTTGTTTTTTTTGTGTCCTATTTTTATTTTATTATTATTGTTATAGTTAAGTATGAAAATATTGTAGACTTTCCGTCTTGAAAATGTTTAATTTTTAATTATATTTAAAAAATAAAATTATTTACTGATACCTTTCAAATGTTTTTAGTAGATATTTATTATATAAAAATATGTACAAATATTAATTTATTTTATATTGTAGAAACAATTTTTAGCTATTTTGGCTTGATAATATAATTTACGACAAATCTTTATCAGATGTTATAAATCAGTTAAAAAAAGGTACTATTTGAGTAAAACAAAAATATTGCAGATAAAAAAAAGATTTATTGACGTAATTTCATTTAGTTAGAAATGTTTTTGTTGATCCAATCCAAGAAAGAGTAAACCCTGGTAAAGACATCTGGGTAGCCGACAGCGCACGGACGTCCCCAAGAGACGATACCAATTTGCTTGCCACCAGAGACCAATGGACCACCGGAGTCACCGTGGCAGGCGCCCTCACCCCTCTTGGTGAATGTGCATACCTGAGAGTCGTACACCGGGTTTGGACGTTGACGATCTTTGCAGTCGTCGACGGAAACAGTCTTCAAGTGAATGAATTGCAAGTCGTTGGGAGCGCTTCCTGGGTACGAAGTTCTGCCCCAACCGCTCAACACGCAATCTTCGCCACCACCGATGCTATTATCAGCCAAGTTGAT